GTCTCTGTAGGCCTCTGCAGCCTGGTTTTGATCCCTTTGCTCATCACTCCTCCCTCTCTGCATCTGGATTCCATTTCTGCTCAGTGTTTAGCTGTGGGTGTCTGCTTCTGTTTCTGACAGCTACTAGATGAAAGTTCTAGGATGTTATACAAGTTAGTTATCAATCTCATTATCAGGGAAGGTAGCTTCTCCACTGTTGCTCAGATTGTTAGTTGGGGTCATCCTTGTAGGTCTCTGGACATTTCTCTAGAGTCAGTTTTCTCTTCAAACCTATCATGGCTCCCTCTTTTATGGTATCTCTCTCTTTTCTTGCTCTTGTCTATTCCTCCCCCGACTCAATCTTCCTTAGTCCCCCATGCTTTCCTCTCCTCCCCTTCTCTTTCTCCTAGCTCCCTCTCCACTCATTGTGCTCCCCCCCAATATGCTCAGGAGATCTTGTTCCTTTCCCCTTCTGTGGGACCTTGCATAAATCTCTTAGGTTCCTCCTTGTATCCTACTTTCTCTGGCGGTGTGAATTATAGGCTGGTGATCCTTTGCTCTATGTCTAAAATCTACATATGAGTGAGTACATGCCATGTTCCTCGTTTTGTGACTGGGTTACCACCTTCAGGATGGTTTCTTCAAGTTCCATCCATTTGCTTGCGAATTTCAAGATTCCATTGTTCCCCCCCCCCCCCCACTGAGTAGTATTCCATTGTGTAAATGTACCAATTTTCTCCATCCATTCTTCAGTTGAGGAGTACCTAGGTTGCTTCCAGGTTCTGGCTACTATAAATGATGTTTCTGTGAACATACTTGAACAGATGTCTTTGTTGCCTGGATGTGGATCATTTGGGTATATGCCTAAGAGTGGAATTGCCAGGTCTTGAGGTAGACTGATTCCCATTTTCCTGAGGAACCTCCATACTGATTCCCTAAATGGCTGTACGAGTTTGCATTCCCACCAGCAGTGGAGGAGTGTTCCCCTTTCTCCACATCCTCTCCAGCATAAACTGCCTTTGTGGTTTTTGATTTTAGCCATTCTGACAGGAGTAAGATGGTATCTTGGAGTTGTTTTGCTTTGCGTTTCCCTGATGGCTAAGGATGTTGAGCACTTTCTTAAGTGTCTTTCAGCCTTTTAGATTCCTCTATTGTGAATTTATAGCTTCTCTCTGTCTGGTACCTAGAGTTTGCTGGCTTACTGTGTGGAAATGACTCCTTCCTTCCCGGCGCTCTTTATCTCTTGTCATTAGATGTCCTCTTCCCTGGTCGTCACGACTGTGATGCTCTTTTCTTCCCCTGTATGATGTTCTCACATGTTGCCTTGATGGTTGTGAACTGCCATAGTTTGTGCTTGTCATGAAATGTTCTTGCTTACCCTTCAGTTTAAAAAAAGATAGCGTTGCCGGCTCGAGCAGACCCGGTTGGCAGTTACTCAGGGATTTAAAAGTACTGTGGGGATGTGTTGTCATGATAAATTGTTTGTTCTTCCAATGTCTCTGCCTATGAAGATAAGTTGATGCTTTTTCCTTGCAGCTCCTAAGATCGCTTTGTTGCCTTGTATTTCCAATGTTTTTACTACAATAAGTATTGGGGAAGTTCTCTGTTCATGTATGTTTGGTGCTCCAAATGTTGATGACCCAAGGTTTGGAAATTTTCTGCTCTGATTTCATTGTAAAGATTCTTCATGTCTTCAGTGCTTGTTCAGTCAGCCCCTTCTGTCCCCTGGAGGCTTGATTGTGCCCCACAATTTTGAGAAGTTGAGCTCCTACTGCTATTTTTCCTTACTGAAGCTTGAACGTAGCATTTTGTCAGCCTCACCTCCATTTCCCATGCTCTCTCTTAGGCTTGATCAAGTTTGTTGGTGATTTTTATTTGAGTCCCTGAATCTTTCATTTTTATCATAGCATTTCCCCCTAAATCTCAGCTTTTGCTGACTTTCTTATGTGAGGTACTGGTTTTCTCAATGGCCTGGCTGACTCTGGCTGCCATTCTTCTCCAGATAACGGACTGAACTTACCTGTGTGTTGGTATCCTGTTTTATGTCTAGCTTCACGTTTACCAGCATTTTGAAGTCTTCACCCAGTGTTGTACATATTCCAGTGTCTTTGGATTCAGGAGTGGAGCAGCTGTGTAACTTTTCAAGGCGTCACATTGCCAAGCATTTTCTTGTTGGGTTTCACTGTTGCGCTCTTAGTATCTGTTCACTTGGCTGTGTGTTCTGGATTGTGGAGGAACCCTTTTATTGATTATGTTACTCGTGAACCTTCCATTCCAGTCTCACTTAACAAGAAGAAAGCCTGCTGCCATCTCAATAGTATCAGCAGACACAGGCTCCAGTTACACGAGATTTCATAAACCTGAAGATGTTCTCCAAGTTAAAAATCATCTAGGATAAGTGTGGAAATAGTAAATGGATGAAATAGTAGGAGACAGATTGGCCAAGAGGAGAAGCAAGATTAAAGATAAGAAAGGTGCAGAGGTTAAAAAATAGTAAGAGATTAGAAAGATAAAGGAAGAATGGAGACTTCTCAGTTACAAGAAAATAAGGAAGCAAGAGTTTGAAAAAGTTTGCGTCAGTGTTGTGGAATGTAGAAAAGGGTAGGAGACAGGACAGAAGAGAAGAGCCCCGCCCAGCAGGGGACACCAGGTCAGAGGCCTGCAAAGGTGGGGCCACCAGGGAAATCGTCAGGAAGCGAGTGTAGGGTGTGCATCCTGTCCGATGTGTGGGTTGAGGGGCGGCGGTTACAGGAGAAAAGAAAGGTCACAAGAATGAAGAGATCTGCTGCTGGAGCCGCTTCTGCCTGGGTCCGTGAGGACTGGAGAGGGCCAAATGTCTGCCAGAAGCAGGAGCTGCACTGCACACTCTCGTCTTTCCTGTGGTTGATGCTGCTGTTGAATCTGTATGAGACAAGTGTCTGCTGCCCCCCCCCCCCCCCCCCCCCCCCGAGCTGACCTTATTGCTGGAACATTCCTTTTTGGTGAACCAGGGCCCTCTGCTGGCCACTGTTAGCCAGCTGTCACCCTCCTCAGGGTTCCAGGTCCTGCTTCCTTTGATGGCTAATATTTGAGCTCAGGAGTGGTGGGGGCGTAGGAAGCTGTCACAGCCTGAGGCCTGTGTTCAGACTTTGAAGACTTCCTAAGTACTAATCACACTACTGAGGGCCATGGCTGTGGAGAGGAGGAGCTGGAACTTCTCCAGCTCTATAGCAGTGAACAACAGGCTTTGGCTGTACCTGCTGGCCTCAGAGCTATCAAACTCCAGATTATTCTCCTTTGGAGAGATGTGCATCTGGCCGTGGAGGGCACTGCTGTATTCCCTTATGCTCTTTCCAGTCTGTTTGTAAGCTCTGCTGCCTGTCCCCTTCTGCCTGTTAGATGCCCTGGGCTCCAAGGGTAGCTCCATTTAAAAGTATTTGGTCTCATGATAGCACCTCAGGATGGATGTTGACTGCCACCTCCTGAGTCTCCTAGGGTGACAAAGGATCACCATCTCACCGAAATCTGTGACTGTATTTGAGCCTTGAGGGCCACAGGTTTATCCTGAGGGCAGGACTGCCCGGTTTTCTTGGAGGCCACCTCTGTCCCCTCAGCCTGCCAGCGACTGTCGCCTGCTGTGTGTCCCTCTTGCTCTCTGCTTCTCATAAGCTTCTTTACGTCTTGTTTTTTTTTTTTTTTTGTTTGTTTGTTCTGCTCTTTTCCAGTAACTTTTCCCTTATTTTATTTTATTTTTAGATTCCAGAGACTCCTCTTTGGCCTGCAGTTTCTTTCTCTTCTGTGCTCACACATAGGTAGCTTCTAGCCACAACCTTCCCAGAACCCTGTAACGTAGCACCTTATATGCTATTTTCTGAATATAAAAGCTAGGTGTTAATATCGAAGTCTTTTTCTGCTATCTTTATGATGATTATAGTGTTGAGTTGATATAGTGTTGAGTTGTATATAATTTATATAGGCCTTTTGCTTTTTGTTTATGAATATTAGTAATGGTAACTTCTCTGCATTAGACATTAACTTTGTTGTATGACCAGCACAAAGGTAACAGTATACATTTTTCATATTTCATGGCAGTACATGTGTGTTCCTGATTGTAGTTGTGAAACACATATCCCAGGGCACACCTGCAAATATAGCAGGGCACTGTGTCTGTCCCCCTCACAAGCTTTTGATTACAATGCTCCTGTTTGGATTTTTAAGACAGGGTTTCTCTGTATGCTCCCTGGCTGTCCTGGAACTCACTCTGTAGACCAGGCTGGCCTTGAACTCAGAGATCTGCCTGCCTCTGCCTCCCGAGTGCTGGGACCAAATGATTGCATCACCACACCCGTTACAATGTTCCTCTTTTTACATTAGTGTCTATATTATCTAATCTTGCATTAGGAAAGAGAAAAATGGAGTAGTAAAATTAACATGTTATTTTTTTTTAATTTTATAAATGATCCTCTTAAGACTTTGTTTAAAAGTTTTGTGAATTTTTTTTTTGTGAAAGTATTTTCATATTCTTTTAAATTGGGTAAATATTTTACCAGCCCTTTGAATTTGTAATGACTGTTGCTACTGAATTTAAATAAAATCACATTTATTGTATTTTAAGTGTTAAGCAGGTTCCAGGGTAGCCAGGGCTGTTACACAGAGAAACCCTGTCTTGAAACCTAACCCCGCCCCCCCCAAAAAAAAACCAAACCCAAGTGTTTCGTAGGAGATAATGAATAGTGGAACTTTCAGTTTGATGTGAGACCTTCAGGGATTTAGGAATTTGAACAGCAATTATAGATCCTTAATAAAACTGGATTTTATTTCTTATTAAATGATGATTCTCCTAAAACATCAAAGAGGACAGAGCTGTTGATTGACTTGATACTATCTGCATTTATTTGGTAATATTTGGTCTGAAGATTAAAAATTTTAGTTTGGCAGCAGTTTACATGGGATCAGGCCGGCACAACCAACAGACACGTCCTTTGAAATGTTATATGTGCAGATCCAAGGCTTTAATTTTTAAATTTTTTGATCTTTTAAAGGTCTATTGTGATTACCATGGCCATTCTCGAAAAAAGAATGTGTTTATGTACGGCTGCAGCATCAAAGAGACAGTGTGGCATACCCATGACAACGCAGCTTCCTGTGACGTTGTGGAAGACATGGGATACAGGGTAATTATTACAGGCACTTCATGAATATCAGCATGCATGTAAGCTATAAGAAAATTTAGTACACATGAATTGATGAGATTTGATGTTTGCATCTTGCTATTTTTGTTTTGAAGTTTTTGTTTTTAGGTTTGCTTTCGTATTGATGTTTGCTATCCACTTGGAATTTATTTTTGTATAGTTTGGAGCTGTGTCTTAGTGAGGGTTTTTATTACTGTGAAGAGACACCCATGACCATGGCAACTCTTGTAAAGAAAACATTTATTTGCAGTGGCATCGTACAGTTTCAGGGGTTCAGTCCATTATCATCATCATGGGGAGCAGGGCAGTGTGCTGAAGAGGTAGCTGATAGTCATACAGCTTTCAGGCAGCAGGAAGTCAGCTGAGACACTGGGTACATCCTGAGCATAGGAAACCTCAGAGCCCGCCCCCCACAGTGACACACTTCCTCCAGCAAAGCCACGCCTCCTAATAGTGCCACCCCCTATGAGACAGTGGGGCTGGTTATATCTAAACTACCACAAGTGTAATCTTATTTCATCCACGGATACCAGTTGTGTGAGCACAGTTTGTTTACTGAGCAGTAGTGTTGGTGCGTGTGTACTCTGTGCTTGTGTACGCACAGTAGGAGGCTCTCAGTTACTGTAGGCATTCCAGTTTGTCTGTGTGCCACATCATCTTAATAATGCTGAACTCTGACACATTTTCTTTCTTCTTTAAAGCCTTTTGTTGGCTGGGCTTTTTGTTGTTTGTGTGTTTTGTTTATTTATTTTCCTTGGGAATTCTAGGATATTCAGTTGTAGATTTACTTTGAGATTTGAATCAGAATAGTGCTGAATCTACGTTAAGTTTAAGAAATCACTGAAAGGTATCTCCATCCATGTACATTGCTGTCTATGTGGTTGAGTCTCATTTTCTTTCTACATAGATGTGATATTTTGTTAGTTTTACCCTCAAATACTCCTGGATCTAATTGTAGTTGGGATTAAGAACTTTTCCCCCACATACATATCTGCTACCCCTCAGTAGATCATTGATTGCCCATAGGAAAATTATTAATTCTTTCATGAGAAATTGCTGTGAGTTTTATGATCCTCCTAAAATCCATTGCACATCCAAATGTGTCTTCCCCCCTCACTGTATGAGTGTGAAGGCGAAGCAGGGCTGTGTTAGACCCTGAGTATCCAGTATCTGCCTCACAAATAACCTTTCCATGAAGATACTGGGCAGTGATCTTCTAAAATATTTTTAGAAGGTTTATTTTGTGTGGATGCTTGCCTGCCTTGTGTCTGTACCATGCATGTGCAGTGCCTGCACAGGCCAGGACAAGCGCTGACTCCTGAGCCACATCTCAGCCCTGTCCTTTTTTAAGTTGCTTCCATGTTTAATTGGTGAGCAGTGACTTCAGCGCATTCTTTGTGACACAGCTGAGCTAGTGTTAGTGGTGACAGGCTCTTTTTAGCGGTGACATTTGCTTTCGGCTCTGTTTCTGAGCCCTCTTTGCAGAGCTCAGTGTGTTTCCTGCATTACTGCCCCCATCTGGCTGCACTGGCTGTGTGAGATTGTTTCTCCAGACATAGACATTGGGGGGGGGGGGGGCGGGCTTTGATGATTTTCACTTTGTTCATATTTACATTTTCAGGTGAACTTGAGAATAATTTTAAGTTAGAAAAACTATTATTGATGCTGCTTAGATTTTATTTTTAATCTTAAAGTCATTGACATTTAGTGTTAAATCAGTTGATCCTTTTCAGGTAATTTGTTTTAAATTTTAAGCATGTTTTCTTCATTTTATTTACTTACTTATTATTTACTTGTGCATGTCTGTATGCGAGTTTTCACACGTGTGTATGGCTACCCATAGGAGCCAAGAGAGTGTTAGATGCCCTGGAGCTTCAATTACAGAGAATAACCAACATGGGTTTTCAGAACTGAGCTCAGGTCCTCTTAAGAGTAGCAAGTCCTCTTCACTACTGAGCCATCGCTCAAGCTCCTTCCTTTATATTTTTAACCATGCTTGTTTTAGATGCTTTTAAATGTATACTTTGTGTATTGCTTGTTAAGGCTGAGTGAGGGGAAGGGGCACAGATATTCAAATGAGGTGACATTTGAATCATAACCTCTGGACCACAATTTTATCTTCACAGACTCTGCCTAAGATTCTGAGCCACATTGCTCCGGCATTTTGTATGAGCAGCTGTAGCTTCGTGGTGGAAAAATCCAAGGAGTCCACAGCGCGGGTCGTGGTGTGGCGGGAGATAGGGGTTCAGAGGAGCTACACCATGGAGAGCACGTTATGTGGCTGCGACCAGGGGAGATACAAGGTACAGCATGGAGCTGGGGTTGCAGGCAGTGGCACTGAGCCATGTGCGGACTGGGAACTGAGTGCTGGCCTGTGCTAGAGAAGTAACCGCAGTGCTCGCTCTCCTGCGCCGGTGCTTAGAGGCAAAGGCGTTTGATGCTTCCTATCTGATATGCTCTCACAGTTTTCACGTAATTGTTAAATGTGCATCTGTCCTACATGTGTAATATCTAGTAATGGCGCCGAGTGGGGCAGTATCGATAGAAGTTTCTGGGTGAGTGAGTGTTGCATGTGAGTGGTTGTGTAAGGGTGTGTGCCTGTACATGATGGGTGCCGGAAGATCTGGGATGTCTTCCTCTCAGACAGGAGTTTCCACCTTCCTCATGCTACGACCCTTTCGCGTGTTCCTCACAGCATACTTCATGACTGTGACCTTGCTTCTGTCATGATGTAAACCTGTGTTTTCCAGTGGTCTCAGGGAACCCCTTGTGAAAGGATCCTTTGACCCCCCCCCCCAGGTTCAGAAGTGCCGCTCTAGTCTGCTCTACATGCACACAGCTGTGCATGGGATTTGAACACAGGCCTTTGTGCTTGAAGATCAATCAGTTTTACCCTCTGAACAATCTTCCTGACCCTGCTTTTTGTTGCTTTTAATTTCTCTAAACTAAACCACTTGCTTAGGAATCATTAAGAAATTTTAATTATTTAATATAGAATGTGAATAGATCACATCCATACTTTTGAGGAAAGCACGATGGATCACACATTTAATAGGCAATTCATAAGGAGCTACACAAACACCACACTGTTATAAGAAATTCCCATCGGGTTAGTGGATCCAATAGTAAGGTTTTTTAATGAATTTAAAATAAGTACATTAGTAAGTAACTAGTTGGGAACACACAGTCTGAAAGGGTCGCAAAGTGCCTGTGTGCTGTGGTTGCCTCCGTTGCCCTCTCCCCCTGGAGCTGCGGCCCTTCTTGAGCTCATGGAGGCTGTACTGGTATATTTTAGATTTTTGAGTTTGACTTTGTGTACGTGTGTATGCGTGCGTGTGCATGTGTGTGTGCGTGTGTGTGCGTGTGTGTATGAGTGCGCGCATGTGCGTGCTTGTGCGTGTGCGTGTGTGTGTGTGTGTGTGTGTGTGTGTGAGAGAGAGAGAGAGAGAGAGAGAGAGAGAGATTGAGAAGAGAGAGAGAGACAGGAAGCCAGAGGACAGTCTGTGGGAATTAGTTTTCTTCTCTTACAAATGGGTCTCAGTGATGGAACTTAGGTGGTCAGGCTTGGTGGCAAATGCCTGTACTGGATGAGCCATCACACCAGATCTGTTTGTTTTCTAATGTATAAACATGTAAACTTTCAACAAACAAAATGAATACCAAATAAGTTCCCATTTCTCTTTTTATGTGATTTAGTTAATAGAGTTCTTTTTGGTTTAAAACCCTATGTTTCTTCCTAAGCCCGGTTTTTAAATATTTGCTGTGTGGGTTAGAAGGACAGGTGGCTTTCTGAGTAAAGTGCCTCCTGTGCCAGCCACGCCTGCCACGCCTGCCGTGCAGTGGGCTCCTCAGGCTGACGACCGAAGAATCAGCTTGCAGTCCATCCTTGCTAATGTCTGCCCTCATCCACACCTACTGCTTTGGATGGCATAAGGTCTTCAGTTGTTTGGGAGGTACATTTTATGTCTAGAAAATAAATGACAATATAATTTGCAATCAATGTTTGTGATTTATATGGTGATATTTAATGTTTGATAACCTTATGTTTGGGAAGCAGTTAAAGAAGGTGATGGGAACCATGCATAATTTTCTTTTTGATGGAGTAGAGAAATTAAAACAGGCACTGTCCCTTGATGTATATGGAACGTAAGAAATGTTCTACTACTTTTGTTGAATTCGTTCTCTTTTATTTAGGTGCTTACTTGCATTACTTTTTGCCGGCTTAGACCCTGTCCAGGTATCTGTAGGGCAGTGGTCGAGTCTGCAGAGCTTGGGCTCAGACACCAATGCTTCTGCATTGACAGACAGAGCCCGGCTCGCAAGGAGCGCTGGGAAGGTTCATGTAGCTGCACACATGAACAAGAGTAGTGGCAGTCATTTATTCTATTCCCTCAGATTGTTGGTGTTCGCAGTGATGGTCAGTGGGAGGAGGTGTTGGATCACAGGGTCAGGGTGGGCGGCCCCTCAGCAGCGGAACTGAGTCGATGCCTTACCGCACCCTTCAGATCCTGCAGCAGATCCTGCAGCACACCCTGTAATCCCAGCTTGCTGGTGTGGGGGGCAAGGGGAGGGGCAAGTTCCGGGCACATGGAAAAACTGTGTAAAACGACACTGAAGAACACTCAGATAGTGTGCTTTAGTACAGTTTCCTTTATGATCTAGAATAATTCCACGTCAGCAAGGCCTTCACGTGTAATGTCCTGCTCCCTCTGCAATGTTTCAGCTGTGTTAATGTAGTTAAAATTCTTTGGATATGACTTTCATGAGTGGCAGCCACAGGAGACCAGAGGTTCTGAGAGTCTGTGTGTTTTACTTTATTTCTAGGGTTTACAGATTGGGACTCGAGAATTGGAAGAGATGGGAGCAAAATTTTGTGTTGGTTTATTGCGTTTGAAAAGACTGACTTCTCCGTTGGAATATAATCTGCCCTCCAACATGCTTGACTTTGAAAATGACTTAATTGAATCAAGCTGTAAAGTAACTAGGTAGGCTGCTTCTCCTTCTCTTCTTGTGTGCTGTCTGCTATACGACCCCATGCGAACAGTCAGTCGGAGAGCATGGCGATCTCCAGAGTCAAGAACTCGTTTACAGTTAATAGGGTTAGGGTTACATGGCTAATACTTGTTTCTAATTGTAATGGTTGATTCTGTTATTGTTATGTTTGATTAGGATCCCAATGGAAAGGCCTTCCGCTTTGAATGTTGCTTTTCTAACCGTAATACTTCACTTATAACTAAAAAAAAAAGCATTGGGAAAACATTGCATTTAGATAATATCTAAATTAAGAAGGCTTGGAGCCATGTTTATGTTTCAAAAGAGATTCCATTTTATTGATGCATACATGTCAGATGGCTGTTCAGTAACCTGATAACATGTTGAAATAGCTGACTTAGCACGTTTGACAATTTATTTCTGTCAAATGATTCTTAAAGTATTTTCTTTTAAAACTCACTGTATATGACATTAGAACCACCCCCGTCCTTTAGAACCTTGACGACTTCTGTTTCTGGGTGTCGGTTTGTCATTGTGCTGATGTGTCACTGTAGTTGTTCAGTGAATCAGCACAGCAGTGTCATTTGCAGTGAGGCGAGAACTGGGCTCTTCGTGGCTGTGGTAATTAGACAGTGACCCCTGACGGCCATTGCTCTTTAAAGTACTAGCCAACCACAGTGGGGGCAAATGCACTGTTCACCGGGATTTTCATGGGCAGACTGGTGTCTCAGTGCCTAAAGCATTTGCCATGCAAGCCTGATGACCTGAGTTCAGTTCCCAGAACCCATGTAAGGTGGAAGCAGAGACCTGACCCCTCCTCAGTTCTCTTGTGGCCTCCACACATGCACGCCCACACGCAGTGGCAATAAACATGTGGAAGGTGGTCAGCCTTCCCTAAAGTCAGAGCCTGACTGTGGTCCATGGAAGGAGGATGCTTGCCCCAGTTAGTCTGGAGGACCAGCGTTGGCTCTCAGTCATCTACCCAGATGATCAACCTTATCCCTTTCCTCCCACAGACTCATTCTTTAGAAGGAGGAAGTATATGGTTTGAAAAGTGCCTGTCAGAATAATGACACTGCAAAACACTACCATATCACATTTAACATTTCAAAATTGTATTTCAGTGTTTAACTGTTTTCTTTTGTATCATGGGGAGTTTGTACTCTATCAGACTCTCTTGAGAGGATTTAGCACAAGGAGGGGCTGAGCATATCTGATTCTCATCACTGTGTCTATAAAAACAAATAACGATCTGCAATTAGGATGGGGTGTTTCCTCTGTCTGTCTGTAGCTGAGATGGGTGTTTCCTCTGTCTGTCTGTCTGTAGCTGAGATGGGTGTTTCCTCTGTCTGTCTGTCTGTAGTGAGATGGGTGATCCTCTGTCTGTCTGGGGATTTTTGCAGTGTATTTATCCCTCTTTTTTCTGCTGTTAAAACCTCAGCTGTTTCTTTCCCTGGTTATCATTCTCTCTGTGTCTCAGATTAGTTTTGCCCAAACTTCTGATTTTTCCCATGCTATTTGTATTCTAATGCTTCTGTGGTTTGCAGGTCCTCAATCTGAATTTGTCTTCGTCTTTCTGTACGTAAGCTGTCCACATTAGGCAAGAGCGCCGCGGGATGCTGAGTGCTTCCTGTAGCATCCTGGCAGCTGTGTAGCTTTGCTTTCTCCTGTAGCTGAGAACCTTCCCCCTGGCCGCCTGTTAAGATGGTTTGCTGACGTTTCCCATTGCAAATGTAGTTTTTGCCCTGTTAGTAATGAAGAAGTTTTTTCATTGTGATTACTTTACAACCATGTCCATTTCCTCTTTCTCACCAGACTTAATGTATTCATTTTTATATGTATTGTATGTGTGTGTTGGACTTATAATTTAAAGTTTAGTTTACTTTAATTACAACTACCATTAGTTTAGCTTGGTGCCCAGGGTTGTCCTGTCCCCCTCACAGCACTTTGGTATGTCTTGTGTGTCTGCATTGTTCCTTGGCCCTTTCCCCCTGGAGCAGTAGGACTTCAGGCCCGTCTTTGTGCATAGTTTTTCCTGAGGTGGAATTAGCCACTGTTTCCAGGCTGACCTGATGCTTTGTGGGTTACAGGAGCATTTGTATCAATGTGTACTGCTAGTTTTATTTATTGCTTCTTTGCCATCACTGTTCTTAGGTGAAACTCTGTATTGCGGGTAATTACATACCCAGGTACCCATACGTGCATGTGTGCATACACAGACAACCTGAATGGCTTTGGCGTCTGATCCTACGGCATAGACTTAACTTCGTTTTAAAGTTTCTAGCTCGCTTCTGTAATGGTGAGGACCGGCATTGCCCTCCTTACTCCTGCTGCTCTGCTCACTTTGACCTTCCTTCCCTTCTGAATCCTCTTGAGGAAAGTCCCTGTGATGCCGGTGGCTGGCGGTACTGCTGCCTCCCAGATGGGATGATTGTGCTCTGCTGATGAGCCCTGGGTCTGAGTGTCAGGGCCAGGTGCCAGTGAAGAGGGTTGCAGCTGCCTTGCGGGAGAGGGAGGGGACACAGAAGGATTATGGGGGAGCTGTTTGCTTTTGTTGTTGTTACATTGGTACGCTAGAGGTCTGCAGTGCATACAGACCTTTGCTCTACGAGTGCATAATATAAACTGCTGTCTGCTTCCTCAAGGACAGCGAATGCTGAGCCCTTAGGACGCATCAATTGCATGAACTTCCCACTCTTCACTGTGTCATGTGTTGTTCATACTAAGTCATATTATGCTAATAACGGCTTTAGCCAGCCATTACTCATTAAGATTTCCTGTTTAGCTCTTCATTGGCCCCCACCCTACGACTGTGCCTTCCTCTATTACAGCCTGTGTGTCTGTGTGTCTATATGCCTGTGTGTGCGTGTGTGTGTTACTGTGTATCTGTGTGTGTGTGTCTCTGTATCTGTTTATGTGTGTGTCTGTGTTTTTGTGTCTATGTGTGTGTTTATGTGTCTGTGATTCACTGTGTGTGTGTGTCTGTCTGCTGGAAGTAGATGGTTTCAGCTACTGCATTTTCTCATTTTGACCCTTTTGTTGGTTTCCTACTTATTTTAGAGTTCCCATGTGGTCACCTGACACGCCAGAGCTGTTTCTATTAGTCTTTTCATCAGTTGTGTTTCTTGGCATGTCTGTCAGTTTACTCAGATGCCAGCCAGGTGTCATATAAAGATGAGAGAATTCCTTTGTCCTCAGATGAGCTACAGGGAGTAGGGCTTGGTTCCCCAACCCAGTGAGCTACTGAGCTGCCTTGAGGTGATGTTAAAAAAGTGTGACAATTTATGGTTTACCACGCTGGCTTTCCCAGGGGCAGCCCTGCAGGGGCTCACAATGGAAGGCCCAGGACCCCTCCTGTCCCTGGCTTCACAAACTGCCACAGCGTTGCCACACGTCTGTCTGTCTGTCTGTCTGTCTCTTTCTTTCTTTGTCTCTCTGTCTATCTCTCTGTCTCTCTGTCTCTCTCTGTCTCTCTCTGTCTCTCTGTCTCTCTCTCTCTGTCTCTTTTTCCAAATAGATTTCCTTTGGGTAGCTGTATTGTACAGTAGCTCAGCTGATCTCTATGTGAGTTTCCGCATGCTTGTAATTAAGTCATAGTAATTTCAGAGCAACACATACACATTTCCTGTGAAAAGGAAAGTGTCTGTGAGTATGTTGGCTAATGTGTGTGAAGGTTCTTCCTAAGTTGCTAAGTGCATGGAACACATACCAGAATTCATAGATGAAAATGGATTGGTGTGATTGGTTTGTGCCTTAGTCTTTTCCATTAAAGTGAAATGGGGGGGGGGTGATCTGTGTACTGGTGGCCTGTCAGCGTCCTTGCTCTTTATTGAGGGGCTTAGGTGCAGGCTCAGTGGGAGCTGAGGGGGACTGTTGAGGACTTCAGGTAGAAGAGTTGCACGGCAGGCAGGACAGGCGGACAGACAGCACAGTGGGCTGGAGTGCAGGACAGGACAGGACAGGACAGGCGGACACACAGGAGCACAGTGGGCTGGAGTGCAGGACAGGACAGGACAGGACAGGCGGACACACAGGAGCACAGTGGGCTGGAGTGCAGGACAGGACAGGACAGGACAGGCGGATACACAGGAGCACAGTGGGCTGGAGTGCAGGACAGGACAGGACAGGCGGACACACAGGAGCACAGTGGGCTGGAGTGCAGGACAGGACAGGACAGGCGGACACACAGGAGCACAGTGGGCTGGAGTGAAGATGTGGGAAGTACACCTTGTGCCCAAAAGCAGAGTGGTCACGGCTTGTCAGAGAACGTGGAGGGCTTGGGGTAGTCTGGAGAGTAAGGCTAACTTTCTTCTGGGGAATTTCGAGTTGTGTGACTTCCTAAGTGACTGGATTTGAGAATAAGCAAGAAGAACAGATCTTGTGGGGAAAACATTGAATGAGTTTTCAACATGCAGGGTTTGTGGTACAGGTGAGATAGCCCTGTCTCTAGCAACTCCAGGGATCTGGGTGAGGTCAGGTTGCATGTTTGCATTTGGAACTGACGAGAATGCACATTAGAAATGGGTGTGCTCATCTGGAGGGCATGCAGCAATGGAGAGCTGGGAACGAGGCCTCCGTTAGCACTCATTCGGGGTACAAGCACCACGCGCTCTGCACTGAGCAGCAGGAGGAGAGAACAGCAGAGGCAGCTGGTGCAGATGAAGTATGGGTCGTGTTGCGAGGGCTGGGGCACGTGCAGTGTGGAGAATTACGTGCCTTCGTGCCCGCGTTTCCGTGAGGCTGGCATAGGCATCTCTGCTGTCTCGTCTCTGCACATCTTCCCTGGCAGACCCCCTTGTCTTCTCTCACGGTCAGTCTGGATAGTGTTGTAGTGGTGGCCCTGGCCCAGTGTGAGCCCAGGAGCAAAGTATCCTCAACATCTTGTGAAGGAACACGGTTTGGCTTGTTCATGCCAAACTGATGTGTGAACCAAGACTTGGCAGGAGAGAGAGATTCTGGGCCAGCCCTGCCACCGCTTGCTGTGCTCCCCTGGAGCCTTCCCAAGTCCCTGCTGTCCTCACTCACTCCCTTTACACGCACTGTCAGCCCTGATTCTGGTTCCAGCCTCCGTTCTCACAGTCACGCCTGGATCTCATCTGCTGGCTGCAGGGCACTTCAGCCCTGCCCCTAGCCTGTGGGCTGTGTCTCCGTGCTCCCTCTAGGGAAGTACTGCTTCTGCCTCTGTACCGCACCTCCCTGCAGCTGCCCTGTCCTCTGCCCTCAAGCAGCCTGTCTGCTAGCACTGCCGTGCTCCTCTCTGACTGTCAGTCTGCGGTGCTCCTCTCTGTCTGTCTGCGGTGCTCCTCTGTCTGCCGTTCTCCTCTCTGTCTGTGGTGCTCCTCTCTGGTTGTCTGCCGTGCTCCTCTCTGGCTGTCAATCTGCAGCAGGGGCGACACAAGCATGTGTCAGGAGGTTGCCTTTTCTCTTCTCTTCACTTGGCTCCTGTCTCAGCCTAAGACACACCTGGAACTTTTAACTATGTATTTAAATTTCATATTAAAAATTGGAAATTGTCCCTGTAAACACTGGGTTTGTTATGTCACATCATTTTCCAAGCCAGTCAGCATGCTCAGTTGTGGGTTGCTCAGGGCCGATGGGCCCTGTGCTTGTCCTTATTTGGACAGATGCTTTTCTCTGTCTTCTTGTAGCTTTCACTTGTCAGAAACGGTTGTTTGGAAGCGGCTGTAATCACACACACACACACACACACACACACACACACACACACACACACACACACACACGGGATTCGGGTTGATGGGTAATAGCTTCAGGGTGTGTGGGTTATCCCTGTCACACAAGGCTTCGTCCGTCACACACTGCATACGGTGCTCGGTGCTGTAAACAGACATCTCATTCTCTGTCCCAGGGGGACATAGTCTGGCTGTTGACTGGCTCTGTGGACATTGGGGGATGTGGCTGTGACCATTTCTCAGCAGTGCTCACCCTGTGGACTTCCGTGCTTTTAACTCATCCCTCCAGGAAAGCAGTTAGGTGCTACGATTTCTCACACAGCCTGTTGGAATGACCCGTTGCCTGATTTACAGGAATTAAAATAGAACTTTAAAATTAATGTTCAGAATGTGTGTGTTGAAATCCTCGAAGTAAGTGTTGAGAGAATCCACTTCTCTTGTGTCCAGTAACACGCTGTGTGCAGACTCTGCAGTGTTACTGAATGTTACCATGCCAACTCATACTGCTGACACTGGCAGTTTCCATCTACTATAAACCTCTCACCTTGTTCATTTGAATAAAATCTCCAAGTTAATACGAGCTGCTCGTATTGTTACTGAGGTCAAGGTTGATGCGTGTGACATGGTGTGGTCAGAGCTGGGGTCTCACGAAGCCTTGTGTGTTCTGTGCTTTGGCTGCAGCCCTACCACTTATGTTTTGGATGAAGATGAACCTCGATTCCTTGAAGAAGTTGATTACAGTGCAGAAAGCAATGACGAGTTAGAGGTTGAATTAGTGGATAACACAGGCGAGTACGAGCCTTCTGCCCAGGAAGAAGCCCTTTCCGACTCTGAGGTATCAAGGGCGTACCTGCCTTGAACTTTCTGCCATCTTTGTTAATTGCCAAGAAGAGATGAAATGTCTTGGTTTTTATTACACAGAAAATACGAGAGGGAAAATTTTTAGACAACTGACTCAAAGAAGACAAAAAAGAACTTGGGCCTGTTTGGTTTCAAGACAATAAATATATTATTAATTCATGATATAATTGGCATTTGTTTTATTTTAGATATTCAATGTACTTTATATAGCATTGAATTATCAAATGATAGATTTACTTAAAAACAAAAGAACCCAAGTATCATTGCATGAATTTTTTATCTCCTGTGGCACCTGCATCAAGTAGATAAATTTGAAGTGTGTCCAAATACAAAATCTAAATTATAGTGTTGAAAACGAATATACCTGTACATGGATTTCTCTAGACATGCTTGTGTGGAGGTGGGTAGTTACTGAAGATAAGACTGCTCTTCAGAACCATGTGAACTGTGGATTGTGGCTAAAATAATCCAGAATTTGCTTTGAAACCACCCCGTTTTACATTTATCAAGTTAAATAAAAACTGTATCAAATGTTGCATTTATTTTGTCATCTTTTTTGGCCAGCTCAGCTTTTTATTAAAAAAAGCAAGACAGAAACAAGAAACTTGTGTCTGAACCCTGGTAAGAGCTTTCTCTGAACAGCTGGCTTCCCAGGCTGGGGACTGGGACCGGCATGGGCGCCTGTGCCTCCCACCGGCGCGAGCTGTGCCCTCTCGGTTGTGTCTGACTGATGGCTTCGAGACCCTCACTGCAGCCAAAGGACGAGCGGCTGTCCAGTGCACGAACTGAACTGCGTGCCTGGGCTTGTGAGCTGGGGTCTTTACAGCATGCCAATGATAGCAGGAGCCCTGGGTGACCCTCATCAGTCCAAACTGTTTGTGTGCGGTGACATTATACTGAGGGTTGGCCATCCTGTGGCAAAGGTAACTGTCATCACCAAAACATAAAAAAATAAACTCAGTGGCTAGATGCTTGTTTAAGAGCTAAATTTTGCTCTTACAGACAACACTCCCCAGGACTGCACACTAGCCAGACCCTCTTGCGATTCAGTGCTTAGGTGCGGCTGCGTGTCTTCTTGGTTATTCCTAAGTTAGAGCCTTTTCTAAGCCTTTTAAAATGGAAGATAAATTATTAAAAATACTTTGGATTTATGCATTTTCTCAAATGAATGCTTTTTTTTTTAAATCATCTTTCTAAAGGTTCTCTTTGGTATCTTGGGAGCCATGTTAACAATACAGTGTGGAGACTGTAAAAAGAGGTTGGCCGGGCTGGTGGCACACACTGGAACTTTAGGAAGTAGAGACAGGAGGATCCAGAGTCAAGGCTACCCTGGGCTACAAGGGCCAAGTCTCAAAATAAAGAAAAAAACAAAAGTTTTGTTTTGTTTGTTTTGTTTTCTCCAAATCATCCACTTCTCACTTCATCTCAGAAAATGAGTAGACTGCGATGTTGAGCCAGTCCTCTGAGGCCATAAAGCTCTGGAAAGAGCACAGTGATTTTCTTAATCAGGGTTTACTATTGCCGTGAGGAGACACCATGACCTCAGCAGCTCTTATAAAGGAAACAGATGAGGGGCTCACTCACAGTTCAGAGGCTCAGTCCAGCATGGCCGGAAGCATGGCAGCACGCAGCATGCAGGAAGCATGGCGGCATGCAGCATGCAGGCAGGAGCAGCCAAGCATATACATCTTGCACGCAACAGGAAGTCAACTGACAATCACACCAAGGAAAGCCTGAGAAAAAACAAAACAACAAACCCTCACAGCCTGCACACGCACACCAGTGACATACTTCCTTAAGATCGCACCTGTTCCAACAAGGCCACACCTCTTGATAGTGCCATTCCCTCTGGGGACATTGTCTTTCCAGCCACCGCACTCCACTCCCTGACCTCCAAAGGCTTGTAGCCATACCGTAATACAAAAATGCATTCAGTCCAATTTCAAAAGTCCCCAGAGCACATAACAGTTGTTCCAGAGTGTCTTCTGAGACGCGTGGCAATCTCTTAACTGTAATCACATATGAAAAAATCAAAATCAAAAGGCAGATCATATAATTCCAACATATAATGGCACAAGATACACATTACCTTTCCAAAATGCAGGGAAGGAAGCATGGTGAGATACTGGACCAAAGCCAGACCAAAACCCAGCTGGGCAAACTCCAAACTCTGCAGCTCCATGTCCGATGCCAACATGCTCTTCAGACTGCCTAGTCCATCCAGCTTTGTTGACTGCAACTCTCTCTCTCTCTCTCTCTCTCTCTCCCTCCCTCTCTCTCCCTCTCTCTCTCTCCCTCTCCCTCTCCCCCCACTCTCGGCAGGTAACCCATGACTCTGGCATCTCTAACTAGCATCTTGAGTACTTACAAAATTCCAACGGTCCAGCATCTATGATCTACTCATGATCTTCTAGACTCCTCCAGAGGACTTGGGTCACTTCTCCGGCTCCGCCCGCTGCAGCACACACAGCTGTCCTCCCGGCTCCAGCTGGCTCCTCTCCACAGCTGCTGCTGTTCTTGGTGGTCATCCCACGGCACTGGCATCTCCAAAATGCTGGGGTCCCTTGCTGCAACTGGACTGCACCTTCACCAGTGGCCCTCATAGGCTCTCCTCATGGTGCCATGACCCCTTCAGTCCTGGGCCTTCAACTGCAGTGAGGCAGCCCCTTCACCGATGGCCTTTCCTACCCTCTCACAGGGCCAGTCCTCAGCTGCTCCCCATGACATCTTCATTCCTTTAAAACCAGTACCACCTGGATGACTCTTACACATTACCAAGTATGGCTGCCAACACGAGGTGCAACCCTGGATGCCTCTGGAACACAACTCTGCTCTCAGGAAACACTTCCCAGAAGATTTCACCGCAGTGATGCTGGTGTCTTCTTAATCACTGCTAATTTCTTAGCTCCAGCCAAACAGCATCAATTGTTCCAGCGACGTAAGGCTTCACTTTAGTGGTTCTGGCATCTTGTTGATCACAGCTGATTCTTGAGCCCCAGCTAACCAGAACCACAGGATCTTAACTCCTTTCTTCTATCTGCTGCTTGCTGGGGCTGGAACGTGGGCCTCTTGTTTAATTACATCTTCACCAGCTTTCTGTCTTTCACTGCCTAAACTTGGCCGTCCTGAAACTTGCTCTGCCAACCAGGCTGGCCTTGAACTCACAGAGATCTCCCTGCTTCTGCCATTGGAGTGCTGGGATTAAAGGGGTGCGCCACGGTCACTTGAGGTCACCATTCCCTTTATTGCATTTAATTCGTTTATCTTCTTGAACAGAGGATTTAGCTCCATTCCACTTTCTGATGCCCCTTTTTCTCAAACATTTTTCCTTGGTAAACTTGCTCCTTCTCATTATAAATCTTCATTAGAGTCACCACTAATAATATCCACATGACAGAGTCTATACTAGGCTAATGCGGGTAACAAGATTCTGGGACACAGTGCAGGCTGGTTGAGGTTTATTTGGGGAGAATCCACTTGCATGAGAAACAGACGAGCTCCGCTGATTTCCGCTCCTAGGATGTCCTCAGACCTCCTCTGTCTCTGATCCGGAAGTAACTGAGTGCATATGGGTCAGGACCCAGACCTAGACTCCACCACTCAACGCCTACACCTGTCCCCACACCACCAATGGGTGTGTCAGCACAACAGGTGTGTGGGCGTGGTGGATATCACTACACTAGGCTGTTTTGAGATTTCTTCTGCCAATGGAATTAATCCAAAACTCTTCACTTTAGCCTCAGGCAGACTCTTTGGACAAGGGCAAAAGTTAGCCCCTTCCTTTACCAAAATATCCCAAGGATGATTTCTAGGCAATTAAAATTCTTCTCTAAAACCTGTTGAGCCTGCTCCCAATATTTAAAATCATTATCAACATCAATTTCTTCCATGCTCCTCCTAGTGTGGCCCCATTAAGCAGTCTTAAAGCATTCCACTGCTTTCCAAACCCAAAGTACCAAAGTCCATATTACTCCAAACAAAAGCATGGTCAGGGCTATCACAGTAATACCCCAGTTCCCTGGTATCAACTTCTGTCCTGGTGAGGGTTTGTACTGCTGTGAGGAGACACCATGACCACAGCAACTCTTACAAGGAAAACATTTGAGGGGGCTGGCTTACAGTTCAGAGGGTCTTTCCATCATGGCAGGTAGCATGGCGCCATGCAGGCAGGCATGGTGCTGTAAAAATAGCCGAGTGTCCTACATCTTGCATGCAGGAACTCAACTGACAATCACACCAAGGGAAGCTTGAGAAAACAGAAACCTCAGAGCCCGGGCTACCCAACAGTAACACTCTTCCTCCAACAAGGCCACACCCACCCCAACAAGGCCACACCCACCCGAACATGGCCACACCTCCCAATAGTGACACTGCCTTTGGGGGCATTTTCTTTCAAACCACCACAATGATTTAATAAGGTCCTATCCAATCATTTATCATTGGTAAAAACTTAATTGCATGTTTTGTTATAATTGTACTTTAAGAGAATATACTCCTACTGTGCCCACATATGTAATAGTTTCTGGTGTTTGCCAAATTAGAAATTAAAAGAGACCCCAGGACACTCGTATTGAGTTAGTTGCTATTTTCTAAAATTGCCCTAATTTTTACCCGTGGGCCTCGCTTTCTTCAATGATCCAGAAACGTTTGAGATGCTTACTGAACACAGTGTCCCGGCTGCAGGGGTGAGGCCAGCATGGACAGTGGACCCAGTAACTCACCTGCAGCTGGAGCTTTGAACTTGCTAAGTATGGTTTGGTTTGATCCAGCCATTCTCCGTGTCAGAATGCATCACGGCTACCTGGAGAGCGCCACACACATTGACGAACATGTGTTCCATGTGGAGCCTGAGAGCTTAGGTTGCACCGGTGATGATGATGCCCACAGCCATAGGTGTGCTGTGTTTCTAGTGGCGTGCCCACAGCCATGGGTACACTATCCTAACTCTAGTATCCATTAAGATGATACAGCCACAGAAGTGGATGACGCAGGAAATGTACTCTTGCAAGTATTCTCGTGCGTGATTCAGAAAGAGATGGTAGCAACGAGTGCACGCTTGTAAATCCCTTCTCTTACGTATGCTTTGGTAATTATGAAATATGAATTTAAAAGTCAGGACTTTCCTCTTTGATGGCAGTTTGGTAGCTATGCATAGCTAGCTTTTGCATCAGGAAAAACCTACTGAAGAAATAGTGTGGTTGGAACACGAATCTACTTTAATACAGTGAATTGCTTAAACTACTTCTCTGATTAAAATATATTCACATCCCTTGACATAAAGAGCAATCTGGAAGAGAGTTTTGTTCTCTTAATGAAAATAAGTATTTTGAAGGTTTAGTTTTTGAAGTGCCACAAGCCACTCTAGCAGGTAGGTGGTAGGTGACATTCAGAACCACCCTGTCCACCACTGCCCCTCACAAGCCTCCTGTGCATTCTGGCCCCTAAACCTGTCATAGCTAGCCATTCAGCCCTTGACTGGTCATTGATAGGACTCGAGTGTGCTTGTTTTCAGTTAAAAGGCTGCTCACTGCAGCATCC